ATATATATATATATAATTCATAATATTTTGATTAAAGTTTAATTTGAATTGAGTTTTAAAAATTATTAAATTCAAATTTAATAATTGTAATATCAATTATAATTAAATTTTCATCAAAATAATCGAACTTTTTTTTAATATAAAATCTTATTTTTTTTTTTTGGAAAATATTTTAAAACGTTAAATTTTCATCAAAATAATCGAACTTTTTTTTAATATAAAATCTTAGGTTTTTTTTTGGAAAATATATTAAAACGTTTTAATCATTTTCGATTTCTGTCGCTCGCATTGTACAGTTGGTCTTCGTCGTTAGGTCTTCACTGAACCATGGCGAGGAAGACGACAGGAATGTGCGGCGGAGTCAGACGACAAGCAAACGTCGGAGCTTTTCGCTCCCCGCTTATCGATGAGATTTCTTCCAGGGATTCCCGGCATCAAGTCGCCGACTTGTCCTCTACAGCACCTACGCTTGAATCGGACATGTGGATTTGTTTCGGCTCCTTTCCTCCGGTTCCTTTATTTCCCGCCGTTGAGAAGAATTTTGGATCGGCAAATCGCTTTCCAAGGAAGATTTTTGGACCCACCCCAACACAAGATGAGGCGAAGGAGAAGTGCTCGTCTCTGAAGGGGTCAATCGAAAAGTGAGTTATCCCGATTTTTTTCCTTTCATGTTCTGTATTTTTTACTAGTTTCATTAACAATCCAAGCTATCTCGTTTCCTTTTGATGCATCAAAGCCATTGATTTTTTATGCAGGAGAAGAATAAAATATGTTATGTTAAATAATAGCTTTCGTTGATTCCTTGTTCGTATACATCTTCCTATTTAGTGTGGAATAGATGGCTGGTTCTGAACATTCTTGGCTCTTTGGGATGGTATGTTTAAATGTCTCTAATCAGATTTACAAACATGAATATGAACTTGAGAAGAATTGATACCCATTGTTGTGGTCACGTGATCAAGTGTTCTATGACTCAAGAGTAGCATTTTTTAACTTGATGAGAATTTGCATGTTTTAATCACCCTAAGAAAAGCGCATTATTGTACTGCTTTCGTTAATTTACTTCTCTATGATTTGCCATGCAGATTATTTTGCATTTTCTGATTTCACATTTTGGAGCCTTTAAATGTTATATGTAGGGGCTGTTTGGTAGTAGGATTTAGGCCAGATTTGAGGCGGATTTGAGCGAAATCCATCCAAACGGCCTAAAATGCAAAACTAAATATTACGTCAAATGAAAGCCACCGTAGACATAAAATTCTGGATTTTCGTACTAAATCCCGGATTTACGAAATCTATAGGCTCAGAGGAAAAGTTTGCTTATTAAATCTGCTTTATAGTCAAACAGTCACAAAGAATTTAAGAAGATTTATCATGAATGTTACCAAACAGTTTTCAGGATTTAGGCCCCTCATGATTTCTGAAATCCGGATTTAGCAGATTTACGAAATCCTACTTAAATCAAATTCTGGGTGCTACTAAATAGCCCTGTAGTTGTATAAATCTTGGTAGAAGTGTGCATGTCATAGTTTACCATTAGAGACTCTGAAATGATGTTCAAGTTACAACAATGGAATGTATTATATGTATTATTGGAATATATTATCAGTGTTCAGAGCTGAACAAAAATTCTATTTTCTTTGGCCTACCGCATGCGTCGGATTCATATGTATCATTAATATCTGCTCGATAATGTTCCTATCTTTGTTCAATTTTGAGAAAATTGATATTCTGATTATGGTTATTAAATTATAGCTGCTTTTTAATTTTGCATGGTTCAAATTTCTTGCTTATTCCTTTGAATTTATTTGATAATAACATTATCTTTTAGGTTCTAATTCTCATGTTTATAGTTTGCATTTAATGAAAGTAAGTATTGGCTTATTTAGCGGTTTGTGATCTATAAATCCCAAGTTCTTTTACATGATTTTTTTACACCAAATAATTTAGTTGCATTAGGAAGCCTTAAGCGTAAATTGTCTCGCATCAAAATGGTATTAGATCTTATGATTGCTTGATTCTACCAACTAAATATAGGACATTATTTTTGGAAACAAAAACTAATAAATGCTGAAAATAGAGCAAATTAGAATAAATTATGGTTCTAGTCAAAAATGTGATTTTTGTGAGGTTCAAAATTACATTCCTACATTCAATTGGGGAGTATGATCTTAGAACTCTTTAGAGTGGACCAATCATTTGGAAGACTTCTATAAACATTATCGATTATTTGATTTTAAATAAGTTAAATTTACTAAATTAATATTAATGAGACATACTTAATTATTTTGACGAAGTGTTTGAAGTAAAATCAATATGGGAAGGCATGAAATATAAGCTTCAGGAGAAATATCTATCATTTGGTGAAGATCTGGATAAATTGCATAATCAATTTTCTAGAGTTGTAAATTAAAAAAATTTAGTGTTTTTGAATATTCTGTTAGGCTCATATGTTTTATAACTATACATAATTTGACTTAAG